GGGGGGGGGTTGAGGAAGGACGGGCCGGGCGCGGAAGGGGATTGCGGGGCTAGAGGACCCCACGGTGCCCGTCGTTTGGGGCTGAGCCCCCATTCCCACCCTCTGCCAGAGCCTGTTCCTCCCCCGAGCCGCTTTCACCCTGCACAGCTTGACCTTCCCCTCGATGTGGCACACACAGGGCCCCTGTCCCCTGCTCAGGACAAGGTGGTCCACAGGCACTCCCAGGACCAGGATCATCCAGTTGAGAGAGATGCAGGTCGTAGTTTCAGCAACCTGGTCCAGTGGGAGGTGTCCCTACCTATGGCAGGGGGGTTGGAACTAGATGATCTTTAAGGTCCTTTCCAACCCAAATCATTCTGTGGTCCTGAGGCAAAACCACGGCAGGGATCCAAGCTGGTTCACAAATGCTCTGCTCCAACAGACCTGGAGCCCGGGACAGGTAGGGCAACACAAACACACTGCACAAAGGCTCCATTCAGAGAACACTTGCTGCCTTCCTGCAAAGCAAGACAGAGCAGCACCTCCTCCCCAAAGCCCCTCTGCATTACCTGTTCCAGGAGAGATGTGGTGCCACAGGGATGCAACCAGCTCCCACTGAGAAAGGCCACGCACTCTCTCCAGCTCACAGCCCCAAGCTGGCACAGCCCCCCTTCCTCCCACCTGTGGTAAATCCCCTCCTCACCGCTTGCCCTCCCCAAGAGACCAGACTGGGATCAATCTGTGCTAGCTGGGGTTTTATTATTTATTAAACTGAACTTACAAAAAAACCCGAACCAACAACCAAACAAAACAAAAACAAAAAAACCCAACAAACAGAAGCATTTTCAGGCCCTGTCAAGGTCAGGGTGAAGGGGAGGGAAAAGGCAATGGTTATAAAACGGGACCCCAGGAGCAAGGAAGAGGCTGTGCTCTGCCCTTGTTACGCAAGGCTGCGAGGGGAGGAGGGAAGGGAGAGATGGGATTTAAGACACTGTTGGCACAACACTGCAGATGATCAGCAAAAAGGTCTACTCGAGGAAGGGGGGAGAAATCGAGTAGCTGCCCAGGCTCGCCTGCAGCCAAGAGCAGGCAGCACAGGCTCTGCAGAGCCCGGCAGCTCCTGGGCCGTTTCAGAGGGCTGGCGGGGGCCCCACTAACCCCTCGGCGCAGGGAAGGCAGGTAAGCAGCTGCTGGTCCAGTCTGATTGCGCTGGGGCCGAGGCAGACGCCGAGGGAGGTTTGAAAGCTGAAATGGATGCACTCGGCTGGCAGAGATATGCTGGAGGAGGGGGGAGAGGGAGGGGGGCCAGGACTGAGAGGCGCCTGGCAGGCAGTGGCGGGCACGGCGTACCTGGAGCCTGCAGGATGTCGCTCCCAGCGGGATTGCAGCAGGGGATCATCAGTCCGTGGCCTGCCCAGGACAAGGCAGGTTCCCTAACACTGAACTCCACTTCACCAGCTGAGCTACAGCTAGGCTAGATGGGAGGCCAGCACACATCAGCCTCCAGCCGTTGGTTAGCTGCAAGACTGCACTATTTACAGCACAAGAGCCAGTCCTGCTGTCTTCTCCTCCCCCAGAGCCCTGGTAGCAAGCTTATGATGCGTGGGATCATGGCAAGTAATCCATCCCTCCTCTTGGGGCAAGCACCACAGTGGCCTCACTCCAGCCACTGCCTCCGTGCCAAAGGGAATGGAGAAGCTTGCTGTGCCAGCCAGAAGCAGAGCCAGGAGCAAAGATGTACTGGCAGGGAAAAAAGCTGTCCCCGGGCTACCTGCTGCTGAGCAGCAGTCTTAACAGGGGATAAAACTACTGGATCGGCTTTTACTTAGCTCACCCAGCTAAACCAACATGTAAACAAGAAGTGACAAGGAACTGGAGGGACATGGCGTGCACACCTCATGTCACACACCACTTGGGCAGAGGCTGAGCTAGCTGGAAGAGCTGACATCTGCACTAGCCCCTGGCTGGCAGTGGGGGAGATGCCAGCCAAGCCTCCAGGAGAGATGGGGATCTTTACAGATTGTTTTTATTGATCTTTTGTGGGTTTTTTTAAGCTGTAGGATCAGCATTTGCTGGTGCAGTGATCCCCAGAGGCGTGCTGCACTGCTACAGAGCAGCCCTTTGGCTGGGTGGGATGGTCCGACAGGCCGGCAGCCACCTGGTGCGCCCAGTTTGTTGCGGAAGAGGTCGTCACCTGTTCCTGGTTCTTTGTAGTAAACCTGAGCTGTTTCTTCCCCTGTCCCCCACTCTCCCCAGCAGTCATTGCGGAGGAAGAGGGATGCCCCGTGGGTCAGTGACTTGACCCTCTTGCAGGTTTTTGACAAGCTGAGCCAGCCAGCGCTTTGTGGTGGTGTCATCCTTCAGGACCTGGGCGAAGGTGGTGTCCTTCAGTTGGTCAGGAAGGCACTGCCTGAGAGCTTCACGTGCCCTACATCAAGAGACAAGAAACAGGGCCCAACAAATAAACTCACAGGGGCAGGAGGGGAGCAAACCCCACTGGAGACACAACAGTGCTTTGCCTAGGGGTCTCCCTGGCAGGGCCAGGCAAGGAAAGCTCCAAGCAGAGCATCACAGCTCAGCCAGCCAGCACGGCTCCCATCCCTCATATCAGACCTCACCAAGCCAACCCCTGTGCCCAGACACTCATCAGTCAAGAGCACTGCAATGCCACGGGAGGCTTAGGCAACAAATACATACCCAGCAGCTTTGGGCAGAGCTACTGATCAGCCTGACATCAGTTTCTATTTCTTCACCTGAGCTTCATCGATTTCTACTGCTAACAGCCCACATGAAGCAGAAGAGAGGGAGCATAGCGTACCTTCCGCCTCAGTCCCTCCCTCATACCTACTTCAAGCCACATTTGAGCTCAGGCAGCTGGAACCTGGTAAGCTTGGATCTGTACAAGCCCCAGAGAGCCACTGCTTCTCACATGTACCATAAAGCTCCTGGGATTAGTAATAACATACAAATGAAAACATTTTCCACGCTGAGCTAAGGCTGACATAAGGACAGACAAGGAACCTTGACTCTTCCTGAGTGGGCACTATGGAGAAGAACTGCACTTCCAAGGGAGTGGGAGAAGCACCTGCCCAAACTCCTAAAATGTTTACCTGGGGTTATCAGAAAGGCGAAGGTAGCAGCGGACAACGTGCTTCAGTAGCCGCGCCGATGGCTCCTTGGAGAGCTGCAGGACCATTTTACCCTGTTTGACAGAGGCCAGTGCCACCAGTTAAAAGTCTTGGTAAGAACAGCTTCACAATCAGCAGAGACTGGGAATGACTGTTAAATTGCTCCCTCTGGCTTCCCACAGACCACAGCCTTTAATCTATACACCCATGCATGGAGTCTGGCACTCTTCTTGCCAAGATGTCTTTGAGAAGAGCAGCTACCTGCAACTTGGAAAGGATTCTCCCAGCAGTTTGAGGAAAGATTGTTTCATCTCTATTTGGTTTTTACCTCCCCTGGACTGCTTAGTGGTCCAACTCTCAGCTAGATTAAAGAGAACCTGGTGTTTCCTCCTTGTGGAAGAAGGTGAACGTAACTCACTTTGATAAGCTCAGGCTGAGTCACCCCATGAGGTGTGTTCTGAAGCTCTGCAACACTCCCTGTTCTCATCTACACTGTCTTAATGTCAACACCCTTCTAAAATGTTAACAATAGCCTGGGAAGCCCCACAGAAAGACTGGGCTCTCCCACGCCACCTATACGAACCCAATACTTGTTTCTTTTTGCTACATCCACAATTAACCCATTACTGGGAAGCAGATCTCCTTGGCCCAGCTTCTATTTCTCACACTCCGTAGGTCATTCATTACACGTGATTGCACCTCTGAATGCACCCAGCCTAGCAAACCATATGGATGCCTTCATGTGCCTGCTTTGGAGGAGTTTAACAGTCTGCTTCCTCATATTTAGGAATCCATCAGATCTGCTCACAAGGTGTTTTTTTTTCCTGTAAAACCAAAAAGGCTAGCACTAACAGTTTTCCTTATTAACCAAATTCACCTGTATTTGGATATTCAGGCAGTCAGCAATCAGCAGGTCCCTCTCATCTGTCATTTTGCAAGCTTCCTGTTCCCAGCAATTCCCCAGGATACCAATAGTTCTCCAAAATAAAGAACAAGCTAGAGAGCTCCTGGAGAGGAAATACTAATTTGCTCTTCTAAAAGCACTTTCTAATACTTGCATAACATCTTAAGTCATTAGTTAACAAGGAAACAAATCATCACCCTTACGAGACAGGAGTACACAACCCTGATTTTTCAAATAGAGAATATAAATGTTTATAAAAATATTCTCCATAGCACTGTGGAATATTAATTATGTCAGTGCTTCACTCCATGGTGGGATTATACCATGGCTATGATTTCTTCTATGCTAACACAGCTTTACACATCCACATCCTTCTGCATTCATACCCTTCCCAACCACAGATTCCTCTCCTTGGTCTCCTTCCCTCACCTGCCCCAGGGTTTCTAGTTGCATCTTTCACTTTTCCCCTGAGCCAGATGCACATTCAGCAAAGAGGATTCTTTTCTGAATGCAAAAAACAATGTCACATTGGATATTACAGACATCAACTCAGAAGTAACACTTTCTTTACATTCGAGCAAATAAACAAATAAATATTCCCAATGAAAGCATCAGCATTTAGGCAAAGAACCAGCATTCCAGAGTGCGTAACTTAATGCTGCATTTTCTTCTCCTAAGACTGGTCTTTAAAAAGCAAGCAACCAACCAAACACAAAAACAGAATAATAGCTACTCCAGGGCAAGCTCAATGATAACAAAGCTCAAGTCAGTGCTACTACTTCTGGGATGAACAAATTACAAGTACCCAAAATTCTCTTTCACAGAGGACAGGGTAAGACAAAAATTGTCTGTTCTCTCTGTGTTCCAACACAAGAATTAGAATCATAAGCAACAGCTAGATGGATCCAGGTTCAAAGAGGGGCTGCATTCATACCCTTCCCAACCACAGATTCCTCTCCTTGGTCTCCTTCCCTCACCTGCCCCAGGGTTTCTAGTTGCATCTTTCACTTTTCCCCTGAGCCAGATGCACATTCAGCAAAGAGGATTCTTTTCTGAATGCAAAAAACAATGTCACATTGGATATTACAGACATCAACTCAGAAGTAACACTTTCTTTACATTCGAGCAAATAAACAAATAAATATTCCCAATGAAAGCATCAGCATTTAGGCAAAGAACCAGCATTCCAGAGTGCGTAACTTAATGCTGCATTTTCTTCTCCTAAGACTGGTCTTTAAAAAGCAAGCAACCAACCAAACACAAAAACAGAATAATAGCTACTCCAGGGCAAGCTCAATGATAACAAAGCTCAAGTCAGTGCTACTACTTCTGGGATGAACAAATTACAAGTACCCAAAATTCTCTTTCACAGAGGACAGGGTAAGACAAAAATTGTCTGTTCTCTCTGTGTTCCAACACAAGAATTAGAATCATAAGCAACAGCTAGATGGAGGATCCAGGTTCAAAGAGGAAAAAAAAAAAAGAGATTGACATTCCAGACACCTAAAAGGAAACCTGTGAAACTCCTTGGTAAAGGACACTGTGGGCACAAAAAACGTTTCAATGGGTTCAAGGGAAGAACAGGACAAACATTGGAGGTTATTGCATAGAAAAAACACAACTGGCCCCAGAAATCCAAAGCTGGAAATAGCTGGCAGGTGGGAGACTGTTACAAGGGCAAGTATCACACTCCCTTGCCCTGCTCCTAGTCCTTTGCTCAACCTGTTGCTCTTTCAACCTGTTGAGGGAGACAGAGGTGGGAAACTGATCCATAGCATGAAGTGTGTGACCTGCGTGATCATTACTGCATCAAATCAAATCAATTCACATCCAACCAATAAGCCTGAAAACTGTCTTCTCTGAAGATGTTCAGTAGGTTTACCTTGGGGACTTACTATATAATAACTAATATGCGTTGTCCTGACAGGCAAACCAAAAATATACAAAGGAAACACACAAAAGTGGAGAGCTATAGTGCTGCAAGAACGATTTGCCTCCCTCATCCTGTGCTCCAGCCAAAGCAGCAAAGTACCTGTTGAAGAAACTGGCTGCTAGAGCACAAATTTCTCTTTTTTTTAAAGAGAGGAAACAAATCATCTTACCAGTATCATGGCAACATGGGAAAACCGCTCATAAGTCTGACAGATGTATGCCAGCCCTGTGTCATCCAGAAGGATTTTCTGAAGAATAAACGTAGCAACCTAGAATTGGAAGAAAGCAGGAAAGAAAACATATAAACAACTTATCTATCCTGAAAAAGGACAGCCTTTGTATTGTGTTCTTTTCAAGGCACTCTCAGAGCAGAAAGGCCTTTCAGCAGGCAGCAAATGCTTTACTCAGTGGAAGATTAAAGCAAAAAGAAAATGCAGGACACTACACAATGCTTGACATCTCTCGTTAATGAAAAGAGATGGACACAAAGTCATGTGCACAAAATGACTGGATGCAGGTTGCATAAGGCAGCAACTGTTGCTGGGCTGAGCAGGACAGACTCAGGATTATGTCCACACTACTCTGGTCACAGATCAAGAAGTAGAAGATGGATCCATCCCTTGGCCCTGCCACCTAGAGGGCAAGCTGGTTTCAGTTTTCATGTTGAGCGTTACCAATTCATCACAAGACAAGTGACTTCCTGGAAGGACGTCAGCCAGCTATGTCAGCAGAATTCACCAGAGAAGCACACACAGACTAAGACCTGTGGCCAGTCTACCTGGGTCATCAGACCAGCCTGACCACAGATCTGAGTTCATGGGGGAAAGAGATCCCTGATCAGAGCAGACAACAAGCTGGTCCAGGTCGGTGAACATTCCCACCATCACCTGCCACCCAACCTCTGCACTGCAAACCTGCAGCATTTGTTCTCTCAGGCCAAGAAAAGCTGATCCAGCTCCACTCTGAAAGTTACTCTGCAGAGCTGACAAGGAGGGAAAGGCTGTTGAGAGCAGCAAGATCTTTCCCAGCAAAATGACTAAGCTCAGGAACTCTAGCTTAGTTTGGTGGTTTTGGTTTGTTTGCTTTTTGAGGAGACAAAAACTCCACCCAGAATTGCCCCAGCATTTGCAACAGTGCACAGTCCAGCTCTGCAGGTTACTGGCTGCCTGGTCAGACAGAGATAAACAACAGCAAGTCTTAATTAAGACAAAAAGAGCAGGTACCGTTTTGGAGAGTTCACTGCCAGACTCCATAATGCGTAAGCACAGGGGGATAATTTCTGTAGTCAATAAGAAATTTATCACTTCTTGCTCATCAGTTTTCACCAAGGCCCCTTGAGGAAAAAACAAAACCATACATAAACAAATGACAAATTGTTTCAAAAAACCTTGCCTTTCCAAGAGGGCCTGTGCTCTCTCCTCCCCAGAAATCATTAAGTCTGAATGGTAGGCACAGCAATTGTGTTCCTAAATGTGTTGCAGCATGTGGCTGGGGAAGAAATTGTTTTGGCAGCATAAAAGTAATCAAGCTGGGTTTGGGGGTTGTTGGCTTTTCAGAAAGGGGATGCATTCTTGGCTCTCTCAAACACAAGAGGATCATGCCACCCACAGCAATCTCTAGAAAGAAAAAAGGCATTTTAAGACCCTCTCACTTTAGGCATTGAGAGAGAAACATTTTGGGAACAAAGAAGAAAAAAAAGAACAAAACAGGATAATTAAAAGATATGCCAAATACACACAAGTTAATCAGTAACAAAAACCCAAAGAAAGCCTAGGCTGCACCCACCTATTCCAGTGCCTAGCTGGCTGGGCTAAGGGTGAAGGCACAACAAACCTGCAGGTGTTTCTACTCACAGGAAACATTTTTGGCAAGGCACTCAGATTTCATTGTTTTCTTAGTGAAAAGCCCAGTTTCTTCACACTAAGAGGAACCTGCCTCCACAACTGACAGAAAAGGAGTAGCTCCTCTTACTACTCCCACACGACTCAGAAGATCCCAATAAAAAGAGACCTTGATTTGGGTCGTGCAGGTCTCTACACCCACATCATGAACTGCATCCAACTTGATAAGGAACCAGCAGTCCAGCAGCAGTCTGGCTTCTTACCGATCACTCCGAGGCTGGTGAGGCGCAGATACTCAAACGGACGTGTCTTGCTCACTGTGTGCAAGAAGGGGTACAGGAAGAGAGGGATATGAGCTGCCAGAAAAGCTGACCTGTAGGAAAGGGAGAATGTCCACATAAGAGGCAAGAGAAAAACAAAAAAGCAAGCACACAATTCAGTGGTACCATGCAAAGCCTCAGACTATCCCTGACAGACAGCATTGCTGCTGCTCCTCAGCTTCTGCCCCTCAGAAAAGGGTAACAGTTCTCTGGTGGAAATATACAAAGTAAATTCTGCACTGGGCACAGCACTAAACCCAACACCCAAACTGCCAGTTACCCGCATCACTGCTTCCAGCTGCCCAGGTACAGAGCACGTGCCTTTCTTTTTGTTACCTCTTCCCACCAACCAGAGCCTCTGCTTTGTACATTCCCTGTTGCATTTCACCTTGCAGGCTCCCATGGACAGGGACAGTCAGTCACAGTGCATGTGCAAAGACTCTGCATGACAGAAATCTAAACTGGCTGATCTCTAGGCATTACCACAATTTAAATGTGCACAGTCACCTTTCCCAAGACTCCTCACACTACCTTCTGACAACAGTGAAAAACACAGATTGCCAGGAGAAGCCTGGATATTGCTCTGCTAGCAGAGGGAAGCTCTCTTGCACAATCACCCAACACCCTTCCTCTGTTTTCAGTTTTCAAACTTCAAATGTAAAAGTGTGTGATGTATAACAGTCATTTTAGCTGAATCAACGTCATCTTTCTCCCTGCTGACATGGGCTGGACACAGATTGAGAAAACCTGAAGCCAGGTACTGGCCAAGGACTCCAGATGTGGCTCTGCTATTGCTCCCTTGCCACACAAGGTCTCTGTGAAGATCAGTCCTGCTCATTCCACCCTTTGGGCAGCCGGTCTAAATAGCTGTAAGCTCATTAAAACAAGGATCTTGCACACAGCACTCAGCACAAAGGCACCCTTATCTCTGGCTGAGATCCCAGGAGCTGCTACAACCCCGTGTTTTGGGAATTTGCAGGATCTCAGGAAGATCCAGGGAATGCAATGCATTTAGGGCCACCATAAAGCTGTCATCCTGATAATCCCTGCAAACAAGTGAAAGGAGCAGGCAGCTGCCTATCTTCTAGCTCTGTCCTCTGTTTCACATCTCTTGGGTAAAAAAAAAAAAAAAAAAAAAAAAAACTTTTTTTTCTCTCGGAAACAACC